AAATAAACACCTATTGTGTGAAATCTAAACTGACTCAAATCTGCAACACTGTACAGTATGTTGTTGTGCAGCTACCAAGTGTATGCTTACATTCTGATACTGTGACTGTTTATCCAAAGTATTGAAAGAACTGTCAGGCCTCAAGGCTAACACATCCAGGCGGGAGCAATAGACAATGTGTTTTGGGACCCAAGGAAGTACATAATGTTGAATTCAAGCTCCATTTAAAACACATTACTATTGGGCCAAGGTTATTTATATAACATCATCATAATGTGTTGAAATGTAGTTTTGTCAAAATTTGGGTTTTGACCAGAAACTTCAATAAATATACTTGATTTAGGATAAAGTTTTCACAGCAATTTCATGTAGATTCTAAAGAGGGAATAACCTTACACAATTGAACATATAATAAAAACCAGTATGCAAACATTGGTTGGGGTTTTGTCTTTTCTAGTTATCAAATTGATACTAAGAAAAATGGAACTTCACTGGTGTCAACAACAACATTTCTTATTGTGACTTCCCTAATGCGGTCGTGTCTCTAATGGCAGAATTAATCTGTCATGTCATTTGGAGCACTGTTGATAATTTTTTTATGAGTTTAATTCCATCTTCTCAGCTTTTAATAAAAATATTCTAATGCCTATACTTTACTTGTATTGGCCTTCAATGAAGCAATGTATCATCAACAATCTAAACAAGCAATAACATATTGGAGTACACTTTGTAACCTGTAATTAAAAGACTTCTAACTTCCCTTTTCTTGTGTTCTCAAACTACTTCTCATGGTGATTTTCCAGTCAGGTTTTCATGATCTAGCACTAACAGCTTCACGTCAGTGTCTAATGAATCAGCAATGATGATGCGTTCAATGCGGTTGAAAAATAACGGAAAACAACTTGATGTATCTATAATGTAAAATATGAAAGTCTTATGAAGTTTAGGGCCCTCTCCAATGTATACTTTCTATAGTCATAATAGTATAACATTCAATACCCTTGTTCAAATTTTACAACCAAATTTAAGTATTTCCATTGTCATCAATAGATTAAATCCCTACTAACAAGAAGTTGGTCAATAGCAAAGTTCATATAAAAATATATTTTTTATATGGCACACACCAAAAACCTATTCAGTTAAATATCTCAGAGGACTGTGTGGACATGCACAAAACTCCTTTGTGTGAATTTGAGCATTTTTGTATTGTTGTTATGAGGAGATAATGTTCACAATACATGTCCGTACTGGCATAAAAACTCATTTGCGCACCAAATCCAACATTTAAAAAAATATCAGTCACAGAGTAGGAAGTTGAGAGATGGGCTTGGCTATTGTCTTTTCATTACATTTCTTAACAATAACAAAAATGCGGACCACCAGGCTTATCCTCTAGGCAGTGTAGAATTAAGCAGTCTCACATTAAACTCCAAAAACCACATGCATAATGGCTTTGTCTAGTACCTTTCCATCTCTGTTTTATTTTTGAAACATGCCCAGTCCAAACCAAGACCGTTGATTCATCAGAGTCCTCACTGTAATTCCTGTAAAAGAAAGGCGTGTTAGCCTGATAGAACAAGAGGGGAATAGGATAACACTTGTAATGCAATACTCTAAGAGCTGTATGATTACATTATTAGAATGTTTTTATGAAAGAGAGACAAGGAGAGGAAGAGAGGGTTACAAGATACATTTAACAACAAGTCATTATCAAACCCGTGACTCAGGGTTGTGGAGTAGACAAAAGACAGACAGAAAGAGGGAAAGAGAGGATCCCCGGTTCATTGTTGAGATATTAATGGTACAGTTTCCATGTTCTACCCTGTGCCTGTCTCTTTTCATCAGCCACAACCACTCTGAATAAAGAGTAAAGAGGCTGCTAACATGGTCTTAGAAACCACGCGTCTGTAGCATATACAGTTTAAAATATTCAGATTCTTGTATCTTTGTTTTTCTTAACTTTTTAGGTAAATACAGTGAGTGTTTGGTTTTAAGCCTGCAAGCAGTAGGCTGTATATTGGATAACGTTTGTTGTTCCATGTCTTTGCTCCAGAGATATCCCATCAACCAAGTGTTCTCTGGAGAAAGTGTGGATTGATTCATTTTTAAAGAGACATTTATTTCTATAATTGGTGTGAGCTGTCAAGTGTTGGACATATCGGCTGTAGAGATGTGATGGTATTCTTATTGCGGTGTTCGAAGCGCCAAAAAAGACTGAACAGCATTGTCTCTTTTCAGAAATGATGAACTGCATACTCCAAATAATTCACAGACCTTATAGTGAGCAGTTTCATGTAGTGTCTTCTTTCTATAAGTACGGAAGTAGGTGTGCATCTTCTCGTGGATTAGAGATAATGGGTATTTTGGGTTTTGTGGTCAACTCTTCCTTCTGAGAAATTTGATTTAAGTGAAAAACATTGGGAAAATGTTGATTTAAAACAATACAGATTGTCTGTTATGTGCATTCATGAAATGTGTTTTTCAGAAAGTGTCAGTACATTATAACTCATGCGTTTTAGAATCCTTGGTAAGTCTAGGCGACGGGGAAAGGAATGTGAACATGTATAGGAAAAAGTGACAGACCTTGCTTGCCAATACACATACACACAGTGATATCAGGAATTAGTTTCCTAAGTCACAGATGAAAGCATTTCATCAGAGGGGTCACAGCAGAGGCCACCCGGCCAATAAATGGCTCATGTTCCATATTATATTACGCAAATAACGGAGAGCCTTGTGAATGACAAAATATAATTAGTCAGGGGTCAATCTAAATAAGAGAGTAAGTTAGGGTTAATACATAATTCATATGAACTCTTCACTCATGATGACCTTTTTTGGGTTACAGCCCATCCTACTGAGTAGTGTTACCATGGCGCCTGGTCCCAGAGGAAATGGAAATAGTTAACAAAGAGGCTTTTTGTCACTTTGGTTTGATGCAAGATGAGAAACATGATTGTTGGGGCAAAAATAGCTCAAATATACTCCTCCCTGTTATTGACTGGTGGCAATCACTGGACAACATCTTTGTGTTCAGATGTTGGAGATCCATTGTTGTTGTTTTGAACATGCATCATGTGACAGTATACTTTTTTAAGAATTTGTTTTAATTATATTGTTTTAATTCATTTATGGCATACTATTGTTATTATACAATAGTATTATTAGTACTATTTTGACAATGTATTTTAAGACTTTAATGGCATTTAATACTTTAAGTGACCTTTTTTAAATTATTAATATTTCATACAAAGCATTAAGAGCACGTTTTAAATGATCCTTTTCTACCACGACTTTCTTTCACAATTTCTTTTGCTAAGGAATACTAGAAAATATATTTTTATTATATTTAGGGAATAGTATGATTTGACCTTTCTATACTTTTCTTGTCATACTATACAATGACTTTTGTTTTATTTTACTTACTATAACTTTTCATGGCATAATTTACAATACTTTTAAACTTTCTATGACAAACTATACCAATACCACTTTATTTTACTTTTTTATGATAGTATAATCTGATTTCTTTGTGAATTGCAATCATAGAATACTTTAACACTATAACTTTATAGCAATTTATCATTTGTTATGAAATTTTTGATTAGTCTAATGGGGTCGTTTCACAATTTCCGATCTTGTGTTCTGAGCAAACGCAACTCAATTACTTTTACGATTCTCTGTAATCTGACAGTTTTAAAATAGTGACATTTAGGAGTTATTACAATATCCACCATCGGTACAGCAGCGTCAGCATTTGTCTTGACTACATCACCACAATGGTCTCCTTCTCTGATTGTTGGCATCTGACTTATTACAGATTGTCTGAATGACAAGACATCAAACTTCATAACATTAAAGGTCGATGTTTCCCCTTATCATTAATAACGTTGCTCCTCTACATTAAGATTGATGTGCACTGCCCCCTGTTGGCTTAAATAAATACTTGCACAGGTCAATAAATGCCTTGATCACAGGCGATTTATAACAATGATATTTTAAAGTAAATTTAGTGGTGACTTAGTCTATGTTGTTTACCAAATCATCTATTTTCTATGTGCTTGGGGAATTTAAGGATACGTTTGACAGACTATGAATTCTTTAAAGCTATTTTCCACCGAATATACTGTGACTATAATTTTTTCCACTATACTAAAACTTTCTTCATGATATTTCGGCCAACTACTGTATAAGGAAGGACTTTGTTGCAATGTTTTTGACACAGTTACATTTGTTTTCATATTTCCCAATATATTTTTTACATACTATACTACTGTATGACTTTTTTGCGAAATGCTAGACTTGTATTTACATTTCAGAAATACTTTACTGCAACGTTTCTTTCCTAATAATTTATTTGGATATACAAACTATACTATGAGTTTTAAAATATATTTTCATCATACAATATTATAACTTTGATTACTTTGTCGTTTTTTTTCTCTGACATTTTCGACAGACTTCACTTTGTTTTTTATTGATTTTTTTATATATATATATAAAAAAATCAATAAAAAAAATATGTATATATATATGTATGTATATATATGTGTATATATTTGTATGTATATATATATATGTATATATATGTATGTATATGTATATATATATTTATATGTATATGTATATATATGTATATATGTATATGTATATATATGTATATATATATATATATGTATATATAACATACTATATTATATTATGTTTTTTTTCCTGCTACTTTAGAATACATACCACACTAGGACGACTCAATATATTGTCGATGTCCGATACTATGTTGTTTTATGTTGCTTTCGACATACTTTACAGGACAATTTGTATCTGATATTTTCGACACTGTAGCTTTTTCCTATATTTACGACATACTATATTATGTTCCGTATTTACTGTATTATATTAGTATGACTGTTTATGTATTGCATGCTATACTATAACTATATCATTTGACATCCTGTATGATTTTTTTTTTTTCGAATGCATCTGAAGAAAACTGAAAAAAGCATTTTTAGATGAATTTAATATTGCAACTTGCATTTGAAAGACATTGAGAATCCAAAAATGGATAGACCACCCACAGAGAGCAAAGGCAAAGAGCTGTGGTCTAAACAGACCCTCCTCCATACTCTTAACAGGAAGTGAGAGACAGAAAATAAACCGTGGTTTAATAGACTATGGGTTATTTTGTCAAGTCTCTTCCTCTAACTTCACCGCACATCTCCCACAGACATATAGCACACAAGAAAATGAGCAATGACTTGACAGTCCCTTGCTGCTCAGCCATTTTGATGTTAGCACTTTTTCATGTAGTATCTACAAACAGCATTAACAAGGCTCCACAGTTTTTTAAGGATTCGAGCAGAGCTGGGTGAAATTATTCCAAATGTTGTGTTAATGTTTGAGTACCAGATGAATCGGGAGCAGTGTCATATTCAGATGCTTCCCTATAAATAAAACAACCACTAGATGTTTTCTATGAAAAACTCTGCTTCCTCATTTTAACCCAATGCGAAAAAACAAGGTGTTCCAAAAACTGACTGAACAATGATAGTACTTTTTTTTCTCTGGCATAAAGCAGGCACTGAAGCACCACGTGTGGTTTTACCATAAAATGTCTTATCTAATGTAGCACTTTATATACTTGACTATGCGTTTACAGTGCATCTGAAACAGGTTGTCAATACATCGTTCCAACTCTACTGCATTTATAGCCCACACTTACCTTTCCCTAAGATCACCTTTCATTGCTCAGCCTTCACTCTATAGTTGTTCTACTTTTCCATGTCTTACAAAAAGTACATATGGCACTGATTTGTGAAAAACCTATTATATAAAGCAATAAACAAACTCTTGGAAATTGCAGGTTCTTGGCAAAAGGCTTAGTTATGTGCTTTTGAATGTGCAGTCAATTTAGCAAAACTGTTTTTGCTGTCTACAGAGAAAAGGCAGACTGTTACATCCATGTTAAATGCAGTTGCATACCACTATTTTGAGGTACAAAACCAGTTAAATGTTATTGTATGAATGTGAGAGAAACTTCTTCCTGAATCTATCCGTAGGAATTCAACTCCAGTATTGTCACCTCCACCTCTGTTGCATAAATTCATGTTTTATGCAATATGGCTGTGGTGATTCATTCTTTTTCTGAAAATATTTCCATTGGAAAGAGCATTCGTGATGGGCACATAGTTTCAGTATCGCCTCCAATCTCAGATAGAAGTCATCAATAAATGAAATTATGTACGGTATGTTTACATAAAAACAAAAAAATATCTTAACATTCCCGTCATGTTCTCCAAACTCAAGAATGGAATGTCATCGTCAATACATAAATACATTTACAATAAGTACAACTTTTAAAAATATTACATGGTCAAAGTAACACTTAGATAAACATTTGAAGTACAGTATTATACAACATAACTGAAATAAGAGACCAACACTTCATGACAAATTAATTATCATACATGATGTGAAATATACATTAATAATCTAACTTTTTTCATTTACAATTTTTCGCCAACTGACATACATTATATTACAGCGAGGATGGAGTTAATGGAAGGACAAGTGCATAGCAAAATAGATCATTTGACTGAGTTAAAGAAACCCATAAAACTGACAAACCAGCTTTAGAAAACAACATTAAAAACCATGTTTAAGGCAAATCTCGTCATTTAAAATTGGCATAGTCTGAGAAAATGTCGACAAAGTCTTGTACCACCCTGTAGCAGAAGTCATATTGTTCCTATGGAATAAAGAGAAAAATAAAAGTGGATTAGGAGTCTGTCAAATAGATTTTCAGTCAAGCTAAACATCAACATGAGGTGAGGAATATTCTATGCACTACATTTAAATACTCACCACGGTTTGGACCATATGAGGCCTCTGCATGCGTAAACTCTTCACAGTTTGGAACACGTCCAGCAGGCCCTCTGCTTTGACTCGCTCCAGGATATTGCTCAGTGCAATGAACGTACCTGTTCGCCCTGCACCAGCACTGCAGCACACACAAAAACTCTACTCAATTCATGCATAAACAGTTGCTTGCAAATACATCATCTGACTGTTTTAAAGGTCCCGTATTATACGGTTTTTCATCAATATATTATAGGTCTTAAATGTATACAAAACATGTCTCTGAAGTGTTTGACTCCAAATACCAAATTTGGGGGGGTCTAACCTTGGTTGGTTATTGGCTAATGGTTACATAACCCAAAAAAACTTCATGACATCAAAATCTTATAAGCTCATTTTCAGTTTTTGTATAAATGGATCAGGACAAAAAGAGAGCCAATCTTTTTTCCTGAAACTTTCAGAATTTCTTAAGGCGGAGGGGACACATGTTGATTTATAAAAAACATGAAAAAAGTGGATTTTGCATAACAGGTGCCCTTTAAGTAGCTACCTGCAGTGTACGACGATGGGATGGTTGCCAGATTGCTGCTGCTGTCTCTGCACCGAGGCGATGATGTCGATCATGCCTTTCCCCTCGGCCGGGATGCCGACCTCTGGCCAGCCGTGGAAATGGAAGTGCCTGATCACCCTGGTCTGCTTCTCCTATGAGAGGAAATGGACGGAAGAGAGATCATAATACCATTTTAAATATGATTCATCAGTAGTATGTGAAAGCATAATGGCAGGTGCAATGTCGGTGGAGGTTAAGTGTGCATGTAGATTAGTGCCGGGCTGATGGGTGCTGCACAGGGAGGCAGCAGTGTACTACTGAGCCTCTGAGAGGGGATGTGGGTCGAATTTAATGAAATATGTGATAGGAATCTCCCACTCAATAATCCTAAACACATCCTGCCCACCACATTTCCTCTGGCAGCCACAAGAGTTTCATAGGCTCACTTTGCTTTTTGCTTATAAAGACGATTATGTTAGATCCTGTGTACATAAACTTTATACTTTATACAACGCTTAAAGGCAAAAAGAGATAACATAATCAAATCACAACAATGCAAAGATTAGAACAAAAATCCTTTGCCTACAACATTAATCATCTCATTATTCTCTGTGATTGTTTTGAGAGGATCATTATCACTAGGTAAATGCTAATAGAAACATCTACAAATAAAATGTTAATAATATATCACTTAAAGAAGTACTTTTCCCTTTTTATTATGCCTTTTGTAATTGCCTTTAGAAGTTGAAGTTTTGCATTTAAAATGGTAAGTAATGAACTATTTTTAAATTGGGGTACTGACACTTTTTCTTGAGTAAATGATGAATCATTCTTTCACCCCTGGAAGTCATTATAAATAATTTAATAGGAGAAATCATAAATGTAAAGTGGAATTTGGGATACAATCTTACTCGCTCATGGTTTATGTGTAGTTACAATTTCTCATGATGAAGATGGTTTTGCATTCCTTGGAAATGAACGAAGGCTTAATGGGTTTGCATGAATAAATACAGAAGATGGTCTTTTATCATGACAGGCAAATGTGTAATGAGCTGTTAACTGCCTCTTTAACAGTAGTGTGATAGTGTGAGTTTAACTTTAATTTGCTTACCGGCACAAAGGTGAGTACCAAGTCTCGTAGACTGAAGGTGTCACACAAAGTGTCTCCCTTCAACTCTACTTTGTAATTTCCGTAGGTGATAGAGTCCTCTGCTGGCCAGTAATGGCAACATTTGTCCTGCAACGACAGACAAACAGATACAAGTGTTGATTTACTGCAAGCAATACGTTTGATTTAATACATGGATTGTAAATATTCTGAAATCGTTTTGGCTAAAAGTTTGAAAGACTGAACAAACATGAACTGAGATAAAGTACAGCTGTGTGAAAGAAGCAGGGAACAGGAACATGCTTTATGCTGCTGTAGTCTGTGCTGAAGCCATTCATCACTGCTCACCTGCTCCCTCTCCTGGAGCTCCGTCAGCATTACAATGGAGTGACATTTCCATTCCCACACCATTCTCCAGAAATCCTCCACTGTGTGTGTCAGAGGGCCCTGGGTGGCGATGAAGTAGTCCTTCTGTCTGTAGCCCTGAGTCAAAGCAAAACACATGCGCCTTCAGCTTCTAGAAATGCTTTTAATAGCAAAACTATCCCATTTATAAATGCAAGAAGGAAGGCATTAGGTAAAAAAGAGGGCTTACATCTATAAAAGACGCGTTGACGTAATCTGTGAACTCCTGACCTCTTCTCATGGAGAGAATGACTCTGTTGAAGTCATCTGAAATGGAAGTGAATCAGGGAAGGCTTTAAAGACATTTAGAATAAAGCGACCTATAAACATCATCACAAAGTATCAAGTTCACAAAGTGGCCGAGTGGCTCTCTGAGGAAATTGAATTCCACGACGCACACGATTGAAACAACATGTTAAGATTCCAAATATAGTGACAGACAATAAAATCTGGAGGTCAAAAGTTGAAACGTGGAACAGACATCCAATCTGTTCTCTTCTATGGTGTTGTTATTTACTTACATGGAATAATTTGCAGAACTCTGTTCTTCTTCATGTTGGCAGGGAGGTTCCCTGTTCTCATGTTCTCCTTCATTATTCTCATGTTGGTCAGTTTCTGGGCACAAATGAAGCAAACAGAGGGTTACAAATCTTCAAATGTTCACTATCCTGATGCTCACAAATGACCATAGCGAAATACAATTCTTAATTTTATCAAGTTTAGAGTATAAGACTTTCGAAGTACAATACATACATTTGATTCTGGCATCTTTTCTCAGTTTTTTTCACAAGGCATGTTTGCAATTGTATACAGTACATGCAAAAGGCAACACTAGAGGCTTTGTATAATATGTACCGTAGGTAAAGATACACTTTAATATGCACGTGCAGCTGAAACGGTTCTGGGGGAGTTATTATGCCCCAAAGCTATGGAACAAAACACCTATAGACATCAGGGAAGCCTGCTCGGTCTTTAAAAAAATAGAAGCTCAAAACATAATTTTACAATTTAGCTTGTTTTAGGAAGCTAATTCCTGCTCTCAATGCATTTTAACCTGTCTCCCGATTTTGTGTTCTATTTGCACTATCCTCCTTTTAATGCACAATTGTATCATTGTACCTTTAATCTAAATGTATTTTTTATACGTCTATTCTATGCTATTTGAAGTTTGTTTTTAAGTCTTTTTTAGTTTTTAAAGAGATGTCTACTGTGAAGCACTTTAAAACTGCAATTCTTGTATTAAAGGTGTTATTATAATCATATCACAGTATTATTAATTGTTTTAGTTTTTGTTATTAAGTGCCAAGGAACTATACAGGAGATGGAAAGTAGTAAAAAGCCGAGGCTGGAAATAATCCTGTCTTATTTGATGATTATAGAGACAGAGTTTGTTTTCTGTGCAGGTTTTGTAAAAATATATTTGAATTAAAAATGTAGTGTTTTATTCTGTATAGTGAATTCAATCATTTCTATTGTATGGATTTGTATACTATGATTCAGAAGCCATTTTAAATAAAGAACTCCTGGTATTGAAGCTATTTCTGATTCTGTTGTGATTATATTTGATTGAATGTGATCTTTAACGAACCAAAGAGTAAATAAATCTGTTTACCTTAAACTCTTCCTCTAGGCCGACCCGGTCACCGGTTGTGAATGTGTCGTGCAGTTTGTGCAGGTGTCCTTCCAGAGATGACACGTCCAGCTCCGTGTCTCCGTAGAGGTAGTATTCAAGCAGGGCCTGGTAGATGAAGGAGTACTGCATCTGGAGAGAGAACACACACACAGATCAACACAAACACTAAGCAGACGCACATTTCACAGATGAGAATGTACTGTCAAGTATGAGTTCAATGTCATGTGGTAAAAAAAAGGGGAACTTGTTTCCAACTCACATCTGTCTGAACAAGCTGTGATCGCTGCTCTCGTATCTTAGCAACAAACCCAAACGCATCAACTTTCTGCCCTGCGTGCATCATGTCGATCATGGCGTCTATTACGATGAAGGTTCCTGTCCTCCCAACACCAGCGCTGCAGAGAAACAAAACAACAGCTGTTAGTCGACAACAGCAGGTAAACAAAGGGACATCTGTGCTCGTAAACATGTATTGTTATGGTCACTCAAGGTTTAATTGTCTCCATGGAAACACATTGAATGATTAAAACAATTTCAGAGGAATGTAGCAAAAGCACGAATCTAGTAAACAACACTAAACAATGATGTATTATCTCAGCGTTCTTGTACCTGCAGTGGACCACAATAGGCCCAGAGAAGGGTGGATTGACCACCTTGACCTTTTTGAGGAACTTCAGCATGCCGATGGGGGAGAAAGGAACTCCAAAGTCGGGCCAGCTGGTGAAGTGGAGCTGGGTGACGAGCCTGGGAGTCTTAGCAGCATCGCTGGCCTGCTGCACAGAGACGCAGACAGACACAGTGTACAACACCTGCACTGCAAATTTGATATCTGTGATAGGTCACATGATATATATGATAACAGTTCCTGTTGCAATTGAGACTTGACAAAAGGGACAGCTTCTTTATTTAGAAATGATAGAGAAATGCACAGCTACTACTGAAATATTCTAATTGACTCACTATGAAAAAGGAACTGAGCTTCACACTTTTTAACGAACTTCACCCATGTTCCTCTCAATTTCCTATAAAGCACAGTTATTTCATGTCACCGCATGACACTTACATATTGAATACAGAACTTGCGGATGGTGTAGTCCACAAGAACAGTGAAGTCTTCCACTGCCACCCTCACACTCCCATAGGTCCAACAGCCCTGATCTGGCCAGTACTGGTAACACTTGTCCTGTAGAGAGAGACAGTCATGACTTAATATGTATGTATTCAATGAGTTTCTTTGCAAGCAAAACAATAGCATTCATAAAGCTGAGCTACACTAAAGGCTCTCGTGATTCAATTCCACAGCCAGTTAGTCTAGATCACTATAAGTGAGAGGGGAGAAACCACTCAATATAAGACAATGCTAGGTGATTATGATAGTGCCGTATACTATAGGACTTCATTACACATTATGTAGTCATCGACTTTAAAGTGTCCACGTGCTGATTTAGATCTTCACCAATTCTCCTCCTATTGATCTTTCTATCCTCTCTCCTTGTTCAGTGAGGGAGTTCTGGTTCACTATAAAGACTGAGCAATTAAAGCAGAAAACAGAGGGGAGATTACAGGTGTGAAATTAATCATTTAAATTAAATCCACGGTCTCACCTTTGACCATTACTAATGAAATCAATTTGGATTTTCAAATCATCTTGATGCTTCATTAATCCATACAGACAACTCAGATTTTTCGCTTGTCCCCTTCACAGGCTCGAAAAATAAGAAACACTGGAGGATAACAGGAGAGCAGAGACACATTCAGAAAAAAACAACGCCAAATCACTTACCTCTTTCCTTTCTTTAAGATTTGTCAGCATAACAACAGTCGCTACTTTCTGCTCCCATATCATCCTCCAGAAATCTGCTACCGTGTCTTCTTTTGGACCTGTAAGACAATATGATGGTAATATTACAAGATTTATGTAGACTTTGAATTAATTATAAAGATCTACATAAGTATGCATCATGTAAAGTATAAGCTCGCTATATCTTACCTTGTGCTGCAATGAATTTTTTCTTTTCCGTGTAACCCTGTTGGAGACAAAATGAATAAAAAAATGTAGAAATATAGAACAGAAAAGCTACTAATGAACCTTGAGGGGACACTGTCTCTTCAAATGCGGTTTCCATGGTAAACATCTAATTACTTTTAATCTCAATTTGCAAGCCAACATTAAGGAAAAGTATGACTGGGCAAACTGATTCTTGGATCCAAAGTTCAGAATAAATATGAAAGTGGACCTTGCAGTGACCAACCAACCATTAATTCATAGGAAATTAGGAGGACCAATTGTTAATATGTCACAGTTATTGTTGCCATTTTGGCAAGTGAAGTTGTTTAACAGAAAAATAAAAAAAGCAAAACTCACATCAATGTAAGAAGCGTTGACATAGTCCGAACAGGGATTTCCATCTAGCTGAGTCAACACCACTCTGGAATGATCATCTGTTTAGAGGGTAACAGCAGAACAACAATACTGAGTATGTAACTTAACTGATTAAACACTATCAGTGCACATACTGTAACATAAAGAGCATTAAACACAATTATCGCATCCTTGCTACGAGTTAGGCAAGAAGTTAGACGTCAATATGAAGCTACTTCCTCCATAAAGACTATAAATACATGGGGAAAGGAGTCTCCCCTGGTTGCCTGGCATGTGCTTAAGCCAAACAAAGTGTGGCACATAAACTCCTTTGAATCAGCCAACTGACATCAGGCCTCTGTAAAGATGAACAATTAAGATATAACATACTTATTTGTGAAATTTAGAAGTTCTGGTGTTTTCTTTTAGCTTTTGACAGAGCCAATCTAGACATTTTGTTGTTTACGCTACACATGTTTATTGCAGAAATAACATCAGTTTTTCAATAATTCTTTCATATTTAAAAGGACAGTTAAGCCCGGAAAGGAAAAATACACATTTATCAATCTAGATTTCTTTGGTGTGAACTGAACAGGTTAATGGGAAACATATGAATGTTTTGGTGTACATTGACTCTATAAGGATCAGAATGTTGCAGTTTGTTGCAATGAATGCATAATGAGAGAAAGATAAGGAAGTGCAACTGTAAAAAAGGAAGAATGTTGGTGAATCATTTTTCATAGCGAATAACAGATGAGCTGATGGGGAGGATCTGCTCTATCTGAACTGTGAGGAAAAAAAATACTCAAAGATATGTGCACACAGGCAGGAAACTGTGAGCTCTGGGTGTGAATTGAGTGAAGTTCTGCAGAACAGAAAGTGAACTCACAAGGAAGGATGTTGGGGTATCTGTTCTTCTCCTTGTTTTCGTCCTTGTTTGCCTCCTCATACGTCCCTTGGGCATTCCCCCCAGGCAAGGACTGCATAAGAAAATCACAGTTAGATTCTACACAACCTCCCATACTGACATTTAACTACTCACGGCCCGGTGCATTGTGTTCTGCTGTACGTAAAGCTTTGTTCAGCCTCGATGTAGGCACTTCCTCTGCTAACTACAGTAAACATTCCCCTATTAAATGCAGAGAACTTCAACTTCCTCTGTCTGTACTGACACACTGTCTGGATAAGAGCATACTTTAAATGTGTTACATGAACCATGAGTCATACTGTAAGCTTTACTTGACTCATATTCATAGTCATAGCCGTAAATAACCAAATAGGGTATTTATTTTATGCGTGTGCGGGTATATGTGTACAGTATTTGTCATGGACACTGTGACACATGTAACTCCAGTAGTTTTCCTGAATAAAAATTAAACGCATGTCTGCATTTTTGACCTCCTCATGAACAATCATCGCAATTGTGGGAAACCCCGCCAACTCTGTCTTTTCACATTATTTTGTGACCGTCAGGAGGAGAAAGGAGGATGCTTACATTGTACTCCTCCCTGAAGAGCTTCCCATCGTCGGCGGAGCGGACCCTGTTCTCGTCCTCCAGGTGCTCCACGGGGATGGGGAAGTAGGTCTTAGAGGCTGAGGGGGATCTGGGCAGAAGGACCACCGTCTGTTGCTCTGTGGGGAGAAAAGTATGTGGGTTAATGATCTCTGCTGGACTCAGATTCAAAGAATAATTTGTTGAAATATTTGTTTTTTTTAAGAAAATAATGTTATTTAAATTTTTTATTAAAAGATCTACAGTATAACAGGATTTGGGTTAAATTAGACCAATGGTTCACAACTAAATGTACCCATAAAGAACTGTCAGCTGAAAACATCCCCACTGATTGATATATAACACTACTGATTATTTGATTGTTAAGAATGTCTGCATTCACTCAACGGTAAGTGTTTCGCTTGTTTTAATTTTTACTTCCATAATTTTGAGTGGCAGAATTATATTTGAACCATTAATTAAAAAAAAATAGCTAAAAAGTTAAACAATTCATTCATTACTTTGAAATAAATGTTTTAAATTCTCTTTCAAAAAAACTTTGAATTTATTTTTTTTCAGATTATGCTATTGTAATATAATTAAATGTTGCATCTTTATTCTCATTTTAATTGAAAAATATATAACAAATTGTCATTGTTTGATATTTGCAAGGACCTTTACCAAAAAGAGATTGTTTCTCATGTCTGTAGAATATCATTTGTTGGCCGGTACACAATATTTAATTAAAAATAATATTATGACACAAATTTGCTCTACAACTGATTTCAAATTGTATGACATGTTTGCATGAGTGCCAACAAATTGATCATTTCAAAAGAGGAGTGTGAGTATTCGAAGATCACCAAAAACATCAACAGTTGTTAGAGAATCAAAGCACCCCAGGGAGAAGCGACTTGTTTCTAAATAAAACCTCTCCAAAGAACCCGACTAAGCATTCAGTTAGCACTCATAATTTAGAAAATAGATGTTGAAAAAAGTACTGCGAGAGTGTTAGTAACACGAGGCCTCTGATACCGCCACCCTGTATACCTGACCTGGTGGCACAGTGGTGTATAACGACTCAGAACTGTATCCAAACTCTAAAACACAACACATGTCACATCAGTCATAAAGGCAAAACACAAACAATACCGTCATTTAACATCATGTTTACTTAAACATCAGAACCACCTTACAACAGAAATTGTAAACATTTTCATCTACTTCCTGACATTATTCAAATGTTGACTTTATGTAATTGTTAGTCTATATATCTACGTCTGTCTGAACATATTCTGTAGTGCTTCCCCAGCACGGAAAACTCATAAAGTGAACATTAAATATAACGTCACTCTCATATGACCATGTGTCATGTTTGCAATCATAGTAATAAGCAGCTTGGCTAATACCTTGACATGTACTCAGTGTTTGTAATGGCTACTTTTAGGTGTGTGTGTGGCGTGTATTCCAGCCATATATCCTCGCTACATTCCTATCTGCAGAGAATACAACCCCTCTGAACTTTCTATTGTAATTGTCAGATAAGAAAATACTTCCTAAAGAACACTCGCAGCTCCTCAAGACCAGTCGTTTCCTGTGAGGCCCGAAAGCTGTTAGCATATTTCACACAGCTCATAATTTAATTTGAACATTGCAGCCTCAAAGCCAACATCTTCTGTGATCTTTGCACCTTTAACTGTGTATACTTATTTTCTCTGCAGTGTGTGTAGGCTGTGAAAAGTAATGAAGATGACGCCAAATTGTTTGTCACATTTACCACAGGAAGTACACAACCACAAAGCTGTGGGGGGACAACCTGCATCTGCAGTTACAAACATAAAAATAGTGCCTGCTTGCTTCTGTATTAACCTATGCTGCATGTTTCAGTATATCTACTTTAAGCTCCAACCATGCTTTTTTCTGACAGCCTGTTGCTTTCACAATCTCCTTCACACAGTCTTATCTACAACGTTACCTTGTTCCTCCAGGATGCCATTTGGTATCTTCTTGTCAACTGTTGTGACGACTGCTTTTCTCTGGTTCTTCGCCCTGTCAATAAATAAATGCAATACAATGAGAAGTAAGTTCAACTCAAATTAATCAGACCTCCCAACATTACAAATGAAATAGGTAGCCAAAAAATAAATCTATACATCCTACCATCTAAAACTTGAAAAGCCACTCTTTCTCATTAGCGGATTGACGGTTCTCTATTCCGAAAGTGATACAGAATTTATTCTTGGTTTTCTTCTGTTGCCTGTCTAGGTCTGCTGTCAGAGCCTGCTCTCCTCTCACTAAGCATGACAGGGAGTCAGCTAGCAGCCCTTCCTGACTGGGCTCCGCCTCGATGACTAAAGGAGGAAGTGTTTGTCACCCTGAGCTCTGCCCCCGAGCCTGGCTCACAGCCAGTCAGCGAGGCCCAGAGAGGGGGTGAGGTGAGTGTGAGACTTTACCTGAGGAAGTACCAGGCCAGCAGCGCGATGATGAGCAGCAGCAGAGACAGGACCAGCACGGTGGGGAGGACATGTTGGCTGGGGGACGTAAAGTCTTCTGAGGAAGGAGAGGGAGAGTCACAGGGTCAGGGAGTAGCGTCAACAAAGAAGAAGGAAGAGGGAGCAAGGCCGGCAACATAAATGTGTGTTTGAGTGTAGCTGCATTCATGGGTTTGAGCCATGTGTGTATTGTATTAACTGATAAAACAAAATCAATACTTGGCACCTCCAAGTGTTCTCTTCTGGACGCAGGCCTGATTTAATAACTGGCCTCTGCAGTATTTTGTCTACAGAGATAAGTATCAGCTCATTTTGTCCTGGCGGTATGTCTGCCTGACAGAAAATGAGAGGCTCTTAGAATAGAGAATCAGCCAAGAGTCACAGCCACACAGCCAGCTATTAGCTGTGTTTACAAAGACGCACAATAAGCCGTAAATTATGGTCCAGGGCTTCTGAAGTTCATTGTGACCCGGTAATTATTAAGGCTCTAGAAAGGGCTATTATTAAGCAATGCATGTGCTGAGGAAGTCTAAAGAAGATGCCTGCAGTGGATACTAATTTGATTTAGTTGGTACCTCAAATTTCTCAGTCTCACATGTCTCCTGTTATTGTTCTTACCTTGTGTATGGTTGCCATTGCCAGTGGAATTAGATGATGTTGTGGTTGCCACCAAAAACAGAAGTGGGACCATTGTGACTGCAGGAAAACAAAATTAAATTGGATATTAAATGTAGTGATTGCAACGTTAAGCCTTGTGAGAACATAGCTGCTGGATAATAAAACCATTTCGGGAGCACTAACTCCATTGACCGATCTGAGGCATATTTCTTAATTCATGACTGTCATTTCAGGAATGTGCTCATCGGTGCAAAGTTCATGGAGACACAATGGAACAGCACACTCATATCCTGGTCATTTATTAATCCTGTCATAAAGCACACAGTGTAATGCCTAACATGTCCATGAGGAGGCACAATCCACCAATATTTGATCAAACAAGGCTTGCCATGATAACATGCCCACCAACCCATTGAGAAAAACATTCCAAAAGATAACAGGCCAAGGAAACATCGATTTTTCCATTACTAAATAAATAAATAAATATTAATCACGTGGCCTTCATTCATACCCAATGCTGCTACTTACTCCTCTAATAAAGGCATGCTTTGATCAGTGCATTATCAGAATGAGACTGATAACACTATTTTCCTTCAGCTGTTTTCCGTGGCAATGCTGAAATGTGGGATTTCCAGGATATAGCATGAGTAGGTTCTTAATGTGCTATACCTTAGAAAGCGCACACACACACACACACACACACACACACACACACACACACACACACACACACACACACACACACACACACACACACACACACACACACACACACACACACACACACACACACACACACACACACACACACACACACACACACACACACACACGAGGCTGCCAGAGGCTTAACACCTACACCCTCATGCTCTGCTCTTTGCCACCTCCCCCCTCACTTTTTGATATCCTTCACCCAACACAAACACTCGCACACACGCACATGCACGGCCGCAGCAGCAGCATGAGCTCTATGAGTGACATTCATAAGTCTCAACTGAATGAATCTGATCTTCGCTTCATTCTTCTGCCAGTAGACAAATGCAGAGGAGGGGGGATAAAAGACCATCTTCGATCGATTATTGTGTTTGAGTTTTCAGAATAGATTTCCCATCACATTGATTTGAGCACCTCCTTTCTTGTGAAATCTAAGGTTGGGAACCAGTAAGCATTGAGATCCTTGCAGTTCTTTTTATTTCCCAAAAGTTCAGAGAATCTAAGTGCAGAGCTGCATCTCCCCATAAAGAGAGCAGGGTGTGCTTTGTCTCCCCAAGGCTGCAGGTGTGTGTGTGTGTGTGTGTGTGTGTGTGTGTGTGTGTGTGTGTGTGTGTGTGTGTGTGTGTGTGTGTGTGTGTGTGTGTGTGTGGTGCTCTGCAGCTGCAGTAAAAGCTAAGGCCAAGTGCATAGTGAATGAAGACACTGTGCTGAAGCCTCCACGCTGTGCCGCAGTGTCCTGTAATGTGTCCAGGCAGGACACCGGAGGAATGTGGGGGCAGCGGAGCAGAGACACTGACTGCAGCAGGGAGAGAGGGAGCAGAAGGTCCGGGTCAATAATATTTCCTGGGGCGATTAATAAACCCTGACATGTCTCTCCGTTCCACGGGGAAGACTGATGAGAGAATTCTAATGAGAGAAGAAGGGAGAGGAGGAGCATGCTGCCCCCTTCTCCAGCTCTCCTCCCTCTTTATCCCCCATCTTTAAGGCTCTCTCTGCAAATGTCACACGCCTGGATGAGGGGGAGATTATTGAGCTAGTACAGTGTGGGAGTCCTTAGGGTAGGGCTGTGTGTATAAGACTTGAGGTTTTGTGATGTGGAAATTCACTCAAGTAGCCGTATGGGACTTTCCGCTACACAAGCTGCGAGGAATTTGATTACTGTGTCTGTTTGTTTATTTGCGTGTTTGATGGTTCAACAGGGACAGCCGGAAGAGCGCTCATAGCTAGCCCCAAGGCTTTGTCTTGTAGAATAGTGCTACTGCGTCCCCTAGTTCCTGGCTCCCTGTTTCCCCCCCATCACCTCTGGAGATATCACCCAGTCACGCCTCAGCCTCCAGCCCCAGCGTGGCTTCAAATGCACCCTTGGGACCTGAGGCTGTACGCCCCGTGCTCTAAAGCTTTTCCCATCTAGTCATTACAGTTGTCTCCAGCCTGACCTTTTTAACATCTCTCAGGAGACGTCAACTTCCTTTCCTCTGTCTTTGTGGGGAAATGTCCCTCATGTAACTATAAATATCACCGCCTCCTATTCCTCGGGGTATACTGTATAATGTATTTTTCTCTATTTCTCCTTATTCAGCAGAAAGTCTCAAATTAGACTATTAGTATAAGTCATCACTTAGCTTGGGTCAGACTCTTGGTAACAGCTATCATCACATAGTATGTGCTGTCATCTGTGTATTGTCCTCCCTTTAGCACTCAGCAGCTGGCCACCAACCGTTAGCCATAATGAAAATAGGTCATGAGAGATGTCAGCTAAAGGGAAGTTCTAATGTGTCCTTATTTTCTGATAGGACACATTTGCAAGTAGCCTAGGGGAAGGGTATTGTCCTGGCCAGCTAGACAGACAGTTTTTTCAGGGGTATGCGTGTCATCAGTTACTTTGTATAGTATTCACTGTGTCACATGCTGTATCAGTATTGTCCTCAGCTGCAGAATTGGAGGCTTTATTCACAGGAACACCAGCACTTTAAATACAATTTATTAAGTAGAACACTAGGAATTATTTTTAACTTAGCTTAAACTACTGCAGAATTACAAAATGACGTGGCTGAGCTAAGGTAGGGGGTTTATTTCATTTACAGTATTGGATTGCAATGTAATTAATAAGATGTTATCTTTTTACAAAGTGATGCTGTCCAAATTACATTTTATTTTATATATTATACCCTTAATAGTCCCAAAGAGTGGAAATGTACATTCTGCATTTGACACATCCTAGTGTCAGGAGCAGTGGGCTATGTACGGCACCAAGGGATCAAGAATGCAACTATAGTAAAACAAATAAAAAATGACAAGAGAAATATTATGATGTTGAAAGGCATTGATGGATAAACAGTAGAACCGACAGTTTGTACCTCAAAGTACAACAGAAATCAAATAGCATGTATTCTAATGCTACAGCTACATATCCAGTAATATAGGTAAATACTTTGTCAGACCACAAAAGGGTGAAAGTTATATGTTTTGGTCTCAAGATTAGCAACTTGTAATCAAAAACAATACATTTCCAAATTGAACCATGTTTTGATAAAATATCTGTGTCTCTTGATATATTCACAAAGTAAAAGCTAGACAACAGCCTTCCTCACATCACAACAAAAGCCACTGACAACACCCATTAGCTAAAGATGTCCACTACTGTATGTATATAAGAAAAAAGACATAAACATATAAATATTTATGATGCTTTTTTGCCATACCATAAAACCACCTAACCAAGAACACATCCTGTATGACCACACCTCAGCCCCTGCCATGTGTTCACAGAGATCTCCAGCACCTGGTCTGCAGTGTATGACTCACAGCTCTGTCTCCACTGATTACACCCTGCCATCTCTGAATACCTGCAACCTGACAGCATGTAAACAAAGATGTGGACACATTATATCACACAATACTTAGAGAGGCAAACAGAGAATACAAGCAGGCCTCTCTTTGCTTCTTTATCCTCGCTCTTAACATGAAATTGGCAGTTGGGGACTCATACAAACGGTATCGTTTATAGTCCCAAACCAGAAATCTGATAAATGTTCTTCCCTGACAGTGTTTTGTTTTTGAGGATAAGCTATCCCTCCCTGCGGTCTCGTGTTTTCCTCGTGGTGTAATTCCCTGCTCTGTCATTCTTTCAGTCTGGGTTAAAAGTGACATAATGATATCCCTGCAGTTCTTCTCCATTGTCTCCCTAATTGGCCCCGGAAACCTTACCATCAGAAAGCACAAGCTTGTTACAATTAAAAGATAAGACAGATACATTGTCTGTCTTTGCCTTTGACAGGACACATGGTGTTCTCTGGCATGGAGTCTTCCCGCAGACAGAGCACTGTCAGTTCCACTGACTGTTGTTTCTCTGGGCAGAGTCGCTCCGTCTCTTCAAATACATCAACTGGGGAATTTAGAAAATGGTTGGTGGGTGTAGTGATGTGGCAGGGTGAACAGGCAGGCACATAGGTAGGTACATTGTGTCCTCTCAGGAAAATGCTGCCAGACTATTTATCCTTTAGGCAACACAGTTTTATTTTTATAACTGAAACCTGTCAGTTTATTAAAGGAAAAACAACCCCTAACCTTAAGCCTTCTTCTCGTTTCTCACCGCTGTGTTCGAAAACATGTTGTCAACCTTTTGTCCTGCTCAAAACGGATCAAGTGTTTAGAAAGCATAATTAGACATGCATTAGTTGTAAATGTGATGTAGTTGAAATAGTAAAATAATTGGGAATAATATAAGTTTCATTTTTGCAGAGGATTATATATGACAATACCACTGTCATATCAGTATGTTAGTCTGAAGCTACTGTATAGCAAGGAGACGGTTAGCTTGGCTTAGCAATACAAGTGAAACAAGGTGAAAACTATTTGGTTTAAAAACAACGCTAATGTTCTCCCATACTATAAGCTTATAAGCAGAATAAGCATTTTTTAAATTGGCGATCAGAGATCAGCCTATGCCAGATCAGTAACAGTATATACAAGCCAGGGAGTAATAAGACATTACTGTTATTGTTTTAAACAGTAGGTATATTTCAATGTTATCCAATTTTTTCATATTGAAATATCAAAAATGAGGATGAACCCTAAATACTTTAGGTACAACACTGATTCTCCTAAATGATAATACAGAAACATAAACAGCTCATTTAACATCAAGTGCATAGACCTTACTTACGTACTATCAACACGTGGTTGTGGGCGATAGCATCAGTTTTGTCCAGAATGTAAGCCTGGCTTTCCCCTGCCATTAGTTCAGGTTCAACACACTCATCTTCACTTTCTTTGTCAACTTCTCACACTGCAGGGCTACCACAAAGTGACCAGTGTGCAAAATAGAGGAAACATATTTACAGAGCAGAGCTTCAAAAGTTGATT